CCCGTGTCCCCTGCATCGGCAGGCGGACTCTCAACCACTGCGCCACCAGGGAAGCCCTCTGTCTCTCTGTCTCTGTCTCTTCGTCCCTCTCTGTACTTCTGTCTCTCTGTTTCCCACCCTCCCCTGCACACACACGTACACAGGTGCACATGGCACGCGGGCCCTGCGCCCCATCTGTGTCTCTGGTGTCCGAGGTCAGGGGTGGAGCTGGGAGAGGGCATTCGGTCCTGACCCCATTTAGGGCCACACTGCCCAGTCCTGTGTGGACGCAGGGCTCGGACGTCCTGCCTTGGCGGCTCCTCACGCGGAGGGGCAGGGACCCTGGGAGAGACAGCGGACCGTGTCCCGCGGGTCTCCTTTGTTTAGCACATCTTCCTGCTTAGAGCATCCCAGCCCTCTTTCTGATCTCCTATCCTTGCAAACCCGGTCAGCTCAGATGTTTTACAGCCAGGACGTCCCGAGTCCTCCCTGCTCAGATGGCTCTTGTCCTAAGCTTGAGTCTAGGCCAAAATGGTCATCTTGTCATTTATTGAATTTTATTCATTAAGTGCAGCTTCTGCCTGTTATGTTAATGGTTTTCTTAAAATAAATTTCTATCTTAAAAGGACTTCAAACGCTGGGTTCTTCCCGAACCCGGTGGGGGGTTCTTCCCCACCCGGGCATCTCAGCTAAGGCGACGCTGCTCAAAATGTGGGCCACACACAGTCCCCACCCATGACGGGGGAGCAGCCGGGGGGGGGGGGCAGCTGGCGCCGGAGCCTTCCAGGATGACGGGCCGGGCGCTGACAGCCCCTCTCACCGCGGTCCAGCCCCAAGGGCCCAGCCTTCCGAGCTTTGCCGTCAGAGCCCTCTCGGCAGCTTAGCGGGGACCATCGCGTGGAACCCGCTGACCTTCGTCCCCTCTGCCACACGGTCTCCCCAGCAGCGGCTTAAACTGCACCTGCTTCATCCCACAGCCCGGTCCTCTGTGTGGTCCTGTGAACGGAGAGTGTTTAAATGATTACAGTCAAGACACAGGGGCAGGTCTGCCTCCGCCTTTGTCACTTCACGTGGTAGCAGAAATGTTGGCTTTCTTATTAGACACTTTTCTGTAAAGTAATTTACTTCTCTTTGGCATTGGGTGTTTTCCGGTGTCTTGCTGTATAAGCAAGCCCACAGTGCGTATCTCTTGCTTGTCCATTTCTCCCTTTGAAGATAAGCTCTAGGGTGGATTCCCATATAAACACACGTGGGAAATGTACAGTGAGATTCCCAAAGAGCCCCCTTCATCTTTTCACATTTTTGAGTCATCACGAGACCTTGGTCTGCCCGTCAGCAAGTCATCGTTTGGGAGGAGGCATCCAATGGGGCTGCTCCCGTGTCTTGGACCAAGTCCTGCATGTGACACACCCCGCTGGGCCGACCGCTGGCTCAAGAGACGGTGGCGCGGGGCGGCTTCCCCAGGGCACGTCGGTCCTGGTGGCAGCAGGCCTGAGCGCCAGGCCTCGAGGGGAAGAGAGAGCCCGTCCGTGAGGGAACACGGTGCTGGGGTGTGCTGGGCCCACGTGGGCGCGCCTCCTGCACCAGCCCCGAGGGGGTCCCTGCACACGGGCCGGGAGGCTCTCCCGCAGGAAGATCCACCGTGTCCATGGGAGGCTCGTGGCCACCAGCAGAAGCTCTGAGTTAGAACCCGGCAGATCATCCCTTCAGTGTCAGGTCAGGGGAACACTGGTGAGAAACTGGCCTTTGTCCCAAAGTGAGCGTTAAATTAGGTTGCATCTTTGCTGTTTTATTTTTTTAGCTAGTTTATTTATTTACTATCAATTTTTTAATTGTTATACAATTTTCAAGGTTACTTTCCACCTACAGTTGTGACAGAGAACTGGCTTTGTTCCCTGTGTTGTATGGTCCATTCTTGAGCCTCTTACACCCAGTAGATGCAGCTGCCACTCCCCCACCCTTGTGTCACCCCTCCCCTCCCACTGGTATCCACAAGTTTGTTCTTTATATACCTGAGTCTGCTTCTTTTGTGTCTGCTGTTTTAATTGGAGCTATTTTCTATGTTTCTATTACATACTGGCCATTCAAAGTGGAAACTGATCATTCTTTTGGGCTTTGGACTCAAGTCTATATATGACTTGAATTATCAAGTATTTAAGCCATCAGTAGGGCTTTCCTTCATCAAAAATCCTTAGCTAGGTGATCATTTGCATAGTTTATTATTATTGTGACTTCTTTGGTGTAGTGGGAAGTGCTTGATAACACTACTTTTGAGTGTTTCATGCAGAGTTTGGGAGCAGGTGGTGGACCCGGGAGCCCGGGAAGCCCTGCGGGAGAGGTGGGCTCATCCGCTGTCTGCCGAGCCCTGGTCTCTGGAGGAGCGGACGGTCCCGACACCCGGGACTCGCCCCTCGTTTCTACCCAACAGTCCTGGCAGGTTTCAGCTGCACGAGAGGCGTATCCCGTCCGTGGTGTGCTGGCGTCTGTGAAAACGTGTGTGCACATGTCTTAAGTTGGGACGGTTGAGGGTGACATGAGGGTTCCTAGCAAATGGAGCGGAGTCGGGTTGAGCTGGGTGATGGGTGGATTTCCAGAGCAGCGAAAGCACCACCCTTTACATCCTGAGGCCAGGGAATCCCGAGGGGTCGTGATTGTGACCGTTTTCGTGGCGAGTCTAGGAAGGACCGGCAGCTGCATCCAGCCCCAACCATCGGGGGGTCTGCACGTTGGGCGCTGCCGTCAGAAGGAGCCTGGTGGGGTGCGTGGAGCCTCAGGCAGCCGTTGTCCCGCTCATGTGTCTACTGGCAGCTTCTTGCAGCCATAAAAAATGAGACTTTCCCACACGAGAAGTGTGGCTCGTCGGCATTGGATCTTATCCTGCAAACCAGTGCCCTGTTCTCCTTACCACGGACATCTGCGACCTTTCCCCTTTTCTCCTAAACAATTTCTTTCTGCAGAGTAACACACGGGAGCCCAAGGCTGGCGTAGAGGGGACCCCCGCTCACATCTCCTTCCTTCTGTCCCTCCAGGAGCAGTTCGAGTTTGCGCTGACAGCCGTGGCCGAGGAGGTGAACGCCATCCTCAAAGCCTTTCCCCAGTGAGTGCGCTTCCCGAGGCCCCGGGGAAAGCCGTCTGCAATCACGGGAAGACTTAACCACGTCTCCCAGTGCAGCTGCCTCGTAATCGGGTCCTTAAGACTCTGTAGTCAGTGCAGTTTAGCAGTTAAAATGTGTATTTTTGTTCAACCAAACAATAATAAAGAGAGATCTGTGGGAAGATGCAATTACTGGGGGCAATCAGTTCACCTATTTTCACTTTCTTGAAAAAAATTTATTTTTCCTTAAAGCACCCATGCACGTTCTTAACCGCAATCATGTCCTACTGATGGTGCAGTCAGCGTGGTCCCCGGAAGAGAGTTGGCTCGTGACCTGTCACTTCCTGAAGGAGTGTCAGCTGTGCAGGGCGGGGCCCAGAGAGGCCGATGAGGCACCGAATGGAGGCCACCGGCTGCAAGAAACTCAGTCGGCGTTTGTCTTGCCAACAGTTTATCACTGGAGACACCCGCGGCTTATTCAGGAGTTAGGTGGACAGGATGGTGACATCCTGCAGCCTTGGGGCAGATAGTAAGAAAGTCGTCCCAGCTCTTCGTTTCATCCTGGCTGCTCAACAGCCTCCCCGCCCAGCACTGTCGACAGCCGCTCCCGACCTTCCAACCCCGAGGATGGGCAGGGCCGCTGGGGGAAACCGCTTTCCCACCCAGAGTGCCTGCTTCCAGGCCAGCCACCGCAGGGACGCCTCACCTGGGCAAGATAGGGGGCGAGCCCCAAACTCCAGACACGGTTATGAACTACAAATAGGGATTTACACAGATGCAGCTAAACGCTTCCCTGCAGGGTGACCAAAATCAGAGGGGGTGCGGGGCAAAGCTGGGCACTCGGCCAGCTCTGGGCAGGCACCTGTGGTCCCCTCTCCGGGAAGGCTCGGGCCCTGCTGGCATCCAGAGAAGACCAGGGGTGCTTTCACCATGCGAGGAACGCAGGGAGACCCGCATTTTTTTTGCTTTTTACCTATGTGGGATCATAGCAGCTGGGGAAGAGCGACGGCCCGGGCTCCCCCCAGGGCTCAGACTGTTCATCTCTTTGCCTGCCCCCTTGTTTGATGTCACGGAGACACACACGTCTAGCAACGATCTGGATTTGCCAAAATACCACTTGAGCGCCAAATGTACCACCCCCGCCCCGAAACAGAGAATGCACTTCCTTAAACTGAAGACGCGTAAACATCTGGGAAGGTGTGCAGGCCGCTCTGGGTGTCGCTGGTCTCGTTTTAGGGAACAACAAGCTCCCCGGTAACCCTGGCACCTCTGCTTCCCGTGCTGCACACCGTTCTTTCCATCTTAAATAGGTGTTACATCTCAGAAGACAGGAGAATAGGGAAAGCAGCCGGCTGAATGGGGAGAAAAAATGCCAAAATATTGTTCGTGTCTTTAAATGGTGTTGTCATGTATATCTGCTTTAATATCTATAATTTCTTTCCCAGTGTTGTTTCTCTCTATCTGGAATCTAAATAATTAATAGAAACTAGTTTATCTGAATATAGGAAGCATATACCTACTTGTAATTTCTAACTTCGTATGTTTCTTCAGTGTGAGATATATAAATATATTTAATTGTGTCCGATTAAACTTCTGATTTCACATTTGAATGGTCATTATTTGGGATGAGAGAGCAGTTTTTTCCCATCCGTCCTGTTTCCTGAAGGTGTGGGAGTTTGGATTCCTAAAACAACGTGTGTGTATTCCTTAGAACTCTATACTGAGTTGCTATTTTATTTGCAGAGCTGGGTGTGTACGGGGGGGTGTCGAGTGTCGCTGAGATTTTATTCATTAAAAAGTGATTTTTAAAAAGAAGTGATTAAACAGGGGACTTCCCTGGCCGTCCAGTGGTTAAGACTCCGCACTTCCACTGCAGGGGGTGCGGATTTGATCCCTGGTCGGGGAACTAAGATCCCGCATGCCGCACGGCGCGGCCAAAAAAATAAAAAATAAATAAAATGAAAATGAGAAGTGTTTTTAAAAAAGTGATTAAACAATCTCAGTCAAAAGATGGGGAGTGGTCTGTGCTCTGTGTGTCCCTGTCCCCTCTTTAGTGCGTGTCTGCCCAGGGAGTGTCGGGGAGCGGTGGTGGCCCTTTCTTTGCTGCCTTCAGAAGAGAGGGGGCCCTCCATCACTTCACAGAGACACGGGCCGTCCCAGGAGCCTCAAAACCGGAGAACACGCTGGGAGCAGTCAAACCCTGGCCATGGAAGGACAGCACTGCTGGGTGTGACCTGGCGGCTTCCCTCTTGTCCTGTGCTGGTCTATCTCGGCTGGCGGTAGCAAGACACATGGCCTGTGGTGTCCAACTAAATGCTGGTGTTTGTATCTCAAGAAATCAGACCCCCAACCTCAACCGATGGGCGTCCACTTACACTCTGTTAGCTCGGCCTCACCGGCATCTCCTTGCCCGAGTTTGCTTCTTGTTAAAATCCTGCCCAGGCATCCAGGAAGCTTCTGCTTTCCATGTGCTGGAAAGTTGCTGTCACTGTTTCATACAAGCGCACAAAGCAATGAGTGACGCTTCTCGTGATAAACACGTGTCAGAATCTGCATGGGACATAAAGATGCCCCTCCGGCCAGGAATATCGAGGGATGCTGGGAAAAGTGGACCTTGCAAACGTTGTGCATAGGCAGCTCTAAAGACAGGTGGGATATGGAAGGATCTGTGTGGGCAGCAT